TGGAGTGCATTTGTAGGTCATAATGGTTTTTAGCTCCGATGGAAGAACATTGAATATCTAGGTCCATGTTTTCCTATAGCACACATATAAGGATACCCACCGATATTCGGCATTTTAATAATTTTCCAAATTTGGCAATGAAGACCCACAGTATTTAACAACCGTTGTAATATAAAGTTGTCTGCATTGGTATGGCCCCCATATAACGGCCTCACTCACTTTATGGTTTTTTGATAAGTTTAACTGTATTATCCAAACGGCCTTAGTGGTATATGAATTGGAACAGACTTTAATTCAGATATTTTTATATAAAAATGTCTCCTTTAACCAAAGGTGGAGGGTTTCAAAAGTTCGGTCCGGCTTATTTTTTTTCTAATGTGGCCTTTAAGGTTTTAAGTTCACAACCCTTTGCTTGCTTTAAGAAAATTATTAATACAATTTCCAAAAATTATTAAATATTAAAACAGTTTTGCTTTTTAGTTACGTCATTTAATAGAACGTTTCCATTCATTATTTTCTGATAATTCCTTCTTAATAACTTTTTAATCTCAACACCTTATCAGCCATGGTAACACTGCAGTGCAAATAAAGTTTTGGCCAATATCTCTCGTTACCTTCAATTGCCCGGTGCATGGCAAATCAAAACAAAAACAAATCAAAAAAGCCGCTAACAAATCTGCAACTTCTTCGGTGCTGCTGCAGTGCAGTGCAAGGCGAGGAAAGAATACCAGCAGTGAATGTTAAGTTTGCTGCTGTCTTGTTTCCAATATGAGTGGTTGGCTGACTGGCTGACTTGCATATTTTTTTTTTCATTTGTCTACAGACATGTATCTCTGGCAGATAGCACTTGGAACTTGGCTGCCACGTTAGTTCACTCGTTCGGCTGTTCGTTCGTTTGTTTGATTTTGTTGTGCTTTGAATGAGATTTTGAGATTCCATCGCTGGTTCATGGGATTTGTTGGTTGACTAATGCATAAAATGCACAACAGCCAGTCATGGCACCAACAATGGGAATGGGCTTCCAAGTATTCCGATGTAGCGTCGTTGTTTGTCAGCCGGCCGGTCATTTGTGTGGGTTTCTTTGTTGTTGTTGTTGTTGTTGGCCTCAAATATTTGATTCGAATGGGATGAAATACAAGAAATACAATTTCTTTTCGGCCTCTCACCAATATTATTTATAAGTAGTTTGTAGAATGGATACCAGATTTAGCAGCACCACCCTCCTCTCATATTTTCTTTTTGATCACGTTTATTGTCTTTTGACAAAACTTTGGAATGTGTGACAGTTTTTCACTCCGACGCATTTTACAAGAAAAATTTTAAAAAGAAAAACAAAAAATCTCCCCTCGGAAGCATTGCAACGACAATACCTGTGACTGGCAATGTTTTGAATATAAATCAAAGTTTTAGAAAGTATCCGCCATGACATGGGGCCAACATTTGTCTAGCTCGTTCAATTAATGGCAGCTATTTTGTGTGAGAAAAAAATCATTTGACGTTTGCTGGACCTTGAATACACTCGTTCGTTCATTTGTCCGTCCGTCCGACCGTTCGTTGTAATCATAATTAAGGCTGTTGCGGGTCTTGATGGACTCTGGCTGAAATCCAATTATTTCAATGCACACACTCACCGCTGCGGTCATTTCAAATGGGCAATGGAATAATCGTGCTAACAAATTTGCCGTAATTATTCTGCTATTATAAAAAAAAAAGACGGTGATAATAACATTTGGTGTGAAAAAAAAACGAAAGTAACCGGATATTAACGTTAAATTACCAGATTTTTTTGAATGAAAAGAGGGAATGCATATTTGCCCTTTGTAGGAATTTAGCCCAGTCCTTAATTTGTTGTGCACTGAAAAAATTATAGTCTTTATTTTCAAATTACAATGATTATAGCCCTTCTTTTTAGAGGTAGACACTTCGTTTAGATACATTTTTGATATAAAAAAGTATAGTTCATTTTTATATAAACGAAACGGTGCATTCTAGAATCGTGAAGCACAATAGTTTGGTATGATGGTAGTTTAATGAAATTCGAACTAAAGGGTACGAAAAGTGCCCACAAATTCGATATGAAGTTTAAGGCGGACTTTTGTATTGAAAAAAAAAAAAATAATAATAATAAAAATACTACTATTGGTATTGAGCTATCGCGATGAACAAAAAGTACTAAAGTGCAGCAATTTCTTTTATGATTTATTTTAGTACTAGCAAGTGGCCGCTTCTTCGTCAGCAAAAATTCCACCTTAAAATTGTAGATTAATTTTGTTGTTGCAAAATGGTCAGGCTTTATCCCTTTATTGTTGTTTTTATAAAAACAACGTTTGTTTATTAGTGGAGAACGATGGCAATGTTTACCAGGGGGTAAAGCAGGGAATACCTAGGTTTCGGAAAGAGCCACCAATCCTCATCAGTTCCCTTGTTTTTTGTCTGGGATATTCTCCCCAGAAGTTATTTTAAAAATAACTTCTATGACAAAAAATATTTTTTTACCCAAGTGACGAGATCGTAAGCTCAATAGAAGAGGAACCAAAGAATTAACTAAATCTAATATTCTTTTGGAAAATCTTCTAAATCTTACAACCGCACTTACAAACATTTACATCTCTCTCCACTTGTTATGCTCTCTTTCAACCTGAACGGTTTTACACCCTAGGTCTCTTTGGACCAAATCCGTTTCAGGACATTTGGAGTCGATCTAGCGATGTATGTCTGTCTCCGATTTGATTCAAACTTGGTACATCGTAATATTAATGTCAAACTTAGATCGAGTTCGAAGATGGGCATGGATCGATCCACTACTTCTGGTGCCTCCCCCACACAATGTCAATATTGCACTGAAAGAGAAAGCATAATTCGATTTTGCTCCAACTTTGCATATCCAAATATTTGCATCAATGCTAGGTCAGGTGGGAAAATGGACAATATCGGTCCACTCCATCAAGTACCTCCCCTACAAACGGCCAACATTTGGACTAATTGTAACTCTTATAAAATGTGATGTAAGAGTCTGATTGTCTTCAAATTACACACAACACAATATTTTTTTGAATCCAAGATCTCATAAAGATGTTAGAGATCGAACCATTCCTTGTGGTACCTCCCCCACAAAGGGTTAAAATTTGAATAACCAAAACTATCATAAAATCTGAAATAAGCATCTGGTTCTCTTCAAATTACATACATCACAATATTTTTACTATCCCAAGGTCTGGTGTGAAGATGGGATATAGCGGTATCCACGAAGCTCATAAACTCTCATAACGTCCGATTCCATTCACACTTAATACATCTCAATAATTCCATCAACACAAGATCTGTTATAAAGGTGGTAGTGATTTCACCATTTTTTCTGGTACTTCCCCCACATAGGGTTCAATACTTTAAAAAACAAAAAGCTCAATGAAAGCGAAATAAACACCCAAATCGATCTATCCATCCATCTCCACAAATTTCAGTTATACTACGCATGTCCAAACCACTACCTTCTCTCCACCCTAGGTACCAACAGTGACCTCGAACAAATTTCAGAATTCCATCCCCATCTCAACACCCAATGGCACAATTTGTACTTACTTTTCAAAACCACCTCCTTTTCTCAATTCCAGATACCAACAGAGAAGTCAATATCAAATTTCGGGATTCCAGCTCTGTCCCTTTACCCAATGTCAAATTTGGCACCATTTAGTACTATTCGTTCAAATATAGGGCCCATTTCCAAATCGCCGCCAAATCTCAAACACATATACCATCAGTAGTCTATAAATCAAATTTGAAAATTGTATCTGTTCACTCAATACATGCATAATGCACATTTCCGAAACCACCTACGCCCAGGCTGCACATGAACAGAGACTCGAATACCAAATTTCATATTTCAAGTACTAATATAATCAAGTACTCAATATAATATTATTTAGTACTTTACGAACATGCATTTCGTTTTTATCACAAACCCACCGCCAAAAACGGACTAAAATACAAAGTTTAAACAAAATAAGTACCATTTAGTACAATTCGCACATTTAGTGCACATTTCCAAAATCACCTTTTCATATCAAATTTACTTTTCATTTTTTCATTTTTTTTACCTCAATTCTCATACCAAATTGTAATTTTTTAGCCTTATCCATTTACATAATGCCAAATGGTACCATTTTAGAAGTTTAATACCATTTCAGAAGCTTTCCTAACCTTAAAGTTTAAATTTCCAAAAACCCTTTGCTACATCGATCCTGCACTACATCAGTGACTCTCATTCCATATTTCAGAATTCTAGCCCATTCGGTTTGTCTAATACAAAATATTAGTTGATTTTAATGCTATTCGTTGCCTTTTAGTACTATGACCCAGAACCAAAATTTCAAGATTCTAGCTTCAGCCGTTTCGCGTAGGCGTTGATTCTTGGTCAGTGAGTCGTATTAAGCGAAAAAAAGTCTCTGAATCTCGTATATGATTAGCAATTCGTCGTACAGAGGTGTTTTTGGTCCCCATTGGTACTAAATAATGGTTTGTAGGATATGTGCAATTTTTGATATCAAAAACTATACCAAATGGGAAATCGAAACCTTAAAAGATATGTTGGGACGAAGAGCGTATAAATAATACAAATATTGATTCCAGCTTTGAAAATATGTCAAAGATATGCCTTTTCCCCATCAATTATATACAGGGTACAAAAAATCAATGTTTCGTGTCGTTGTCGTTTAAAAAGGAAATTTCTACAGAGAATTCTTAGAAACAAGCAGGTGCTGCCATAAATTTTACTTAATTATAATCACATGAAAATGAGAAAAAATGTTTCTTCCTAACATATCGAAAAATTATTAAAATACATTTGAAATTCGTCTACTCTACCATTGTCGAAATTAAAAAAAAAAAAAATATTGGAAAGTTATATTTCACGTTTTTATATTTATTTCTCCATATTCATCTTAAAACCAATTATATTTTTAATATTTTATATTAAATATTTTCCTCTCTTTCTTTTCTTACAGCGTGTTCCACCGCTTCGAGTTGATGATTTAATCAATGATCTGCGCGATGGCACCAAACTGATAGCACTTCTCGAAGTGTTGTCCGGTGAGAAATTGCCCGTTGAAAAGGGTCGAGTTCTGAGACGTCCACACTTCCTCAGCAATGCCAATACCGCCCTGCAATTCTTGGCCAGCAAACGTATCAAGTTGGTTAATATCAATCCGGCCGATTTGGTGGATGGGAGACCACCAGTCGTTTTGGGTTTGATATGGACAATCATTTTGTACTTCCAGGTAAGTTGGCCAAAGAAAAGAAAACTAGTCTAAATAAACAATATTGAATAATAGCACCAAAAAAGAAAAACAAAACCAAATGCAAACAATAGCACTCCAAATAGAAAAGAAAAACACCCTAAAGTTGAAAAAAAAAAATCACTGGTCATCATCACTAAACACCCATGCTTATAAAAAAAAACGAATAGATTTTATTTTCCTCATATTCTAGAAAGGCTTTTCACAGTTCGAAGATGTCGTCTCTCTCACACACACACACACACACAAATAAAAAATATTGAAATATTAAATGTCATTGTTGTTAATTTATATCTATGTATTTTTCTTCTTCTCTTCTACTTATTTTCAAATTTTTTTTTGAAACCAATCATTTTTATCGATTTGTCGTAAAACTGTACTTCCAAAATCAAAATTATTGCTAAAACAAAATAGATTCGTAAAAAGAGACGGAAAAATCTATTAGTGGTTATTAATTATAAGCCACAGGTAATTTTGAAAACTGTAGTCAAAACTGTAGTTTGTAGTCATCTAGAGCAATTCGAGATACATATTGATTTATTCTTTCTTGCAGTGTAGCGTATTTAGTTGTGTGAATGTATGAATGTGTGTGCCAACTGTTGATGTTGTTGCTGTGTTTTGTATGAAATCCGATTTTAATGCACATCTCTTCCTTTCTTTCGTTAATTTTGATTTATTTTTATGATTTTGATTACATCTCACATTAGTTTGTCACTGAGTTGAACATTTTATTTTAATTTTTAGAACAGCGTATTTATTCCCGGTATTAAATGCCATGGAGAACCATGAACAATTTTAAATTCATCATTTAAATATGGCAAACATTTAAAAAGCCATAATTCCTGATCAACATTTCGAACATATTTTTTGAGGGAAAACAACGGATTCGATTGGATATCGTAGTTATGTTTGTATTATTCCCTCGTTTAATGGCATTGGAGATGGTCACATTTAGAGCTGCTACGTTTGAAAAAACTATCTGTTATTGTGTAAAATATTTTCCTTTCAAGAAAACAATTAAAAAAGTATCAGTCGGTTTTGCCGACAGATGTATACCTCAGCCAATGTTCGATAATTTAAAAATATTTTGACTTCTGCTTTGATTATTCAAACTGTTGACCTTCTACAGGCTGAGATAAAAAAACTGCAACAAAGTTAAACGCCACAATTCTTACATTTTTTTTTTTTCAAATTTTATTGAATGAAAACAAAAAATGTTGGAAAAAGCATCAAATTTTAGAATAAGTTTAGATTTGTTCGAATTGGTCACCTTTAGCACGAATTATGGACTTCAAACGGACAATGAAACCGTCACACGCTGCCCGAATGTTGTTCTGCGGTATTTTGGTCCATTCTCGGCGAAGCGCTTGCCTGAGGTGATCGACACTTTGGTATTTTTAGTGCCAAAACTCTCGACACAATAGTCCAATCCGGTGGATTAGTATTCGGAGATTTTGGTGGCCATTGTGGCGAGGAACCTCATTTTGTAACCATTTTTGGGTGGCACGTGCTGAGTCCTGTTGGAATGTCCAAGGCCTGCGGCCAAAATGTTTGCGTGCCCAAGGCTTTAATACAACCTCCAGAATATTTTCGTGATCATATTCGGCATTTATTCTGACGCTACGGTCGATTAATACGAGCGGAGAGCGACCATGTGGCTGCTATGGCGACCCACACCATCACCATGGCCAGCACTTGAGTTCTGGTGGCCCACCGAAGGTGCACATTTTCAGCTGACCATCTGCTGGATAACGAATACTTTCTCATCGGAGAAAACAAAATTCGGCAGTTCACCACTTTCGGCCAAGCGAAGCAACTCTTTAGTTCTTTTGAGTCTATACGGGGGAGGTACCCAAAGGAGTGGGCCGAGATATCCCATCTCCATACCAGATCTTGTGTTAATGGAAATATTGGGATGTGTGAAATATGACGAATTTTATAACCGTTTTGGTTATTCAAAACTTTGACCCTTTGTGGGGGAGGTACCAGAAGGAATGCTGCAATCTCTACCATCATATAACAGATCTTGTGTTGATAGAAATATTGAGATGTGCCAAGTCTGAATGAAATCGGATGTTTATATCGTGTATTATGAGCTTAATGGGTTTTCAAAATTTTTACTCTTTTTGGGGGAGATCAGATCAGATGAAGTGGACCGAAACATTCCTTCTTTACACCAGACATTGGATTAATAAAAAATTGTTGTGTGTGTAGTTTGAAGACAATCGGATTCTTACATAACATTTTATAAGAGTTATAGCTATTTAAACTTTTGACCCTTTGTGGGGGAGGTACTTGATAGAGTGGACCGATATTGTCCATTTTCTCACTTGGTGCAATAATTAGGATTTGCAAAGTAGGAGCAAAATCGTATTATCCTTTTTCTTTCTGTGCAATAAATTATTTTCTTTGAAAATGTTGACATTTTGAGTGGGATGTACCAAAAGGAGTGGACCGATATTGCCCATCTCCGAACTCGATCTAAGTTTGACAATAATATTATAAGGTATCATGTTTGGATCAAATTGGATACTACCTTCGAGAGTTATTGTGGGCACCAGCCAGAGAAACGGACGGACGGACATCGCTAGATCGACTGAAACGGATTTGGTCCAAAGCGACCTAGGGTCTAAAAATCCCAACCACAGTGCTATTCGAGTATAGTTTTCTATTCGGCTGATATAGTGGTCTTGATGGCATTCGGGTAGTAACAGTTGCAGGGACACCCTTTGGTTGAACCAAATCTGAAACAGGAAAAGAAAGTCGCCAATGGTGATTAAATCTCTGCCAAGGCTACTTAATTCGTACTGGATATAAACCCAGATGATAGTAATGGAATTTGCCCCACCAAACAATGTGGTGAATAGGAATTATTTCTCATACTTTGAACATGAAGTCAACATATCCAACCCAAATTATCTCTAAATCGTACTGTCATTGGCAACCAATCGACTCCCACAAAAACAAAGCCGACGGAAATTAAAACTGCGTCATCTGCCTACATTACTATACTTCTATACATAATCCCATGTTACTGTACTCCTTTAGGCTGTTGATTTTTGGCTTTGCACCCAGATCACGTTATCGTCAGATTTTTAGTGTAAATTGAGAACTGAAATTCATTATTGCTTCTCATAACTAAATAATAGTCTCAATTTCCGCAATATCGAATCGTAAAACATACTTTCTACAGTTATTCTTCACATGGTGGAGAGTATTAACAATTCGACCCGGCAAACTTTAACCCCTTTATACCTGTAGATCGCCTCTTGATCTTCGCTACTTAAAAAAAAAACAACAAATAATTAATTTTTTTAAGAACATAATTTCTCTTCACATTTTCATTTATATTATTTTCCTCGATTTTAATTTCGTTGTGCCCCTTTAGTTTGCTAGCACATTGTGTGTTTTGTTTTCTTTTTCACTTGAAGAGAATGTCAGACATTTAAAAACAAAAAAAAAAAAACATCCATTAATTGGGAAGCCTTACTAACTGCTTGAACAACTTGTGTTCTTTTTTCTCTCATACCTTTTTACAGATCGAAGAGAATAGCCGCAACCTCGAATATTTGGGTCATGGTATCAGTGGTTCGGTTAGTTCTCTGGACAGTGTTGGCAAGAATGCCAGCGATGTCAAGGCCGAGAAATGGAAGCAGGGAGCCCGTAAGACTTTACTTAACTGGGTAACCAATGCTCTGCCAAAGTAAGTATTGAATTGAATTTCTGTCCGGCGTTGTATTCTAATCTTTTGTCCAACTTGCAGAGAGAGCGGTGTAGAGGTTAAGGATTTCGGCGCCAGTTGGAGAGATGGTGTCGCCTTCCTGGCCCTCATCGATGCCATTAAGGCTAATCTGGTTAATTTGGCTGAACTGAAGAAGACAAGCAACCGTCAACGTCTCGAAACTGCTTTCGATGTGGCCGAAAGCAAATTGGGCATTGCCAAGTTGCTTGATGCTGAGGATGTGGATGTACCCAAGCCCGATGAAAAGAGTATTATGACTTATGTGGCTCAATTCTTGCACAAGTATCCCGAACCAAAGGTAATACCAGACAGAGTGGATTTTAGGTTGAGCAAATCTCAAAAAATTATCTTTATTTTCATTTTCCAGGGTGCTAACAAGGATCTGTCACATATCCATCAAGAACTGGACGAGCTGAGACGTTTCTTGGTGGAGAAAACCACGGAATATGAGCCCATGGTCCTGGGCAATTCGTTCCCGCGAGACTTTGCCGAATATCTGATTGCTCGCTCCGAGGTTGATGCCCACATACCAACCTACAATCGCTTGAAGCAATTGGTGGAATCACAAAGTGGTTTCCTCCAGGTGCCCAAACACACCTGGGAAGACATTAACAGCCTGTGGCAACGCGTCCAATATCAAATGATGTACTGGTTGTGGCTCCTGGATTCAGAGCTACCCGGTGACTTTGGTGAGGTTGGCAAATGGCTGGCTGAGGCTGAGAAAATTCTGATGGACAATGATATCCCCAGTTCCATGAATGAAGAAACGGCCGCCATCATATCACGCAAATTGGAGGAGCATAAACTGTTCTTTGCCGATTTGCCTCGCATCATTGCCATGTTCGACAACGCCAAGCGTTCGCCTTTGGCCCAACAAGTGCCTTTGGAACAGTTGCGCAACATGGAGAAACGTTTGCAGGATGTGGGCCCACGGGCCAGTGAACGTAGAATCAGATTGAAGTTCTTGGAACACAAGTGCTGTTTGGTGGCCTTCTTGAATCTGGTCGAGAACAAGATGAAGGGATGGACCGGTAAATATGGTACCGAAGACAAAGTGGCCCTTCAACTGGAACAGTACAAGAACTTTGTGTCGCGCAACAAGATTTTCCAAGAATTCCAAAAGGCTTTTGTCGACATGCAACAAGTGGTTGACGAATACAAACGTGACGGCAACGTGTCTCGCAAAGAGACCATTGACATTGATCGTTTCATGTATGAGACCGAGGAACGATGGAAGCGTGTCTCCATGGAGTTGAAATGTTGTCAGAACTCCTTGGAGGAAGTGGTCAATTGCTGGAAGACATGGCATCAATTGGCACCCAACTGCGAAGAGTGGCTACGTGTGGCCGAGCAAAAGGCCATGCAATCGGAAGATGAGAAATTGGAATTCTTCCAAGACATTTCCGTGTGGAAGGATAAGTTCGATGCTCTTGCCAATGCTGCCAACTACTTGATTGCTTCTTGCGAAGAGCCCATAGCTCAAAATCTGAGACAGCATCATGGCATGTTGTCCGAGCGCTTTGAACGCCTCTTTGCCAATACCAAGAAATACATGCATGCCGGTGACATCATCCGAGCTCGCCAGGAATACAAATCTGGCATCGAAAACTTTCGCAATGGTTGCGTTATGCCGAAAGCGTCTTAAACCAAAAACAACAATTGGGAGACAGCGAAGCCATTCGCAAATATGGCGATGAATTACAAAAACTGGCCTCCGAAATAGACGACAATGAGGAATTGTTCAAGACCATCAGCCGCAACATTCAAGGCATGATCCAAGATCTGTCGCGTGAAGAGGTCGACAACATGATGAAGACCCTGAAACAAGAGAAGGAAGCTTTGGTGCGCATTAGAGCCCAAATTCCCAGCAAGCTGCATTTGATCCATCAATTGCTTATCCAACAGGAGTCTTTGGAAGCCGGCCAAAAGGAAATCCATCAATGGCTGAACGAAGCCGAGTCGTTGCTTGGCACCCACAGCTTGGCCGGTGGACGTGACAAGATCAATGAAGAGCTCACCAAACACAAGACATTCTTCTCGCGTACCGTCTACTACCGATCTATGCTGGAAAGCAAGAACAAAGTCTTCCAAAATCTGCTGAGGAATGTAGTCCAGGATGAGAACATTGATACCACACAAGCCCAACACAACATGCAACAGTTGAATGACCGCTTCAACTACGTCATCAACAATTCGCAACAATGGGAGCAGCGCTTGACGGATTCCCTGAACAGCTGGAACCGTTACAAGGACAATGAGAGAGTGGTTACGGAATGGTTGACCCAGGCCGAAACTATAATCATTGAGAAGCACATCGAGACCAAGACCACCATTGAAACGCAGAAGTACTTCTTTGAAAATGTCAATCAAAGATGGATGCCCGATTTGGTAGACTCTGCTCAAGAACTGTTGAAAACCCTGCCCACTCAGGAACAAAAGCCAGTTGTGGATTCAGTTGAACAACTGCAGAACCGCTGGCAAAATGTTTTGGGTCAGGCTCCTCTGCATCTAATGAAGCTGGAATTCCGTTCGGATGAGCAGGCCTTCCAACAGACCATGCAAGAGGTTGAAAAGGAATTGAATTTGGAAGAACAGGCTCTCAATCGTAATGAGGATGTTGATTCCATTTTGAAACGTAATCAGCAATACTTCCTTCAATCTGGCTGCTTGCCTCGTTTGGAGAAGTCCTTGCAGAACATGCACCGCTTGGGCCAGGCTTACAAGCAGCAAAAACCAGGTGATAGCAGTCTCGAGGATGCCTACAAGAACGCCCACTCTCAATACACCCACCTGACCAACAAGATTGCCTCAATGCGCGAAACCTTACAGCAAATCCCCGCCCAATGGGAATCCTATCACGACAAATTCACCGAAATGGTGGAATGGATGGACACCGTGGACAAGAGTTTGAAGAATATTGTCAACGAGGTCAACAGCATGGAAGAGTTCGAGAAGGAAAAAGTCGTATTCCAGGTAGGTTAACTGAAATAACATACCAAGCATAACTATAACGCTTCAATAACTAACTCGCATATTTCCATTTAATTGACACATGCAGCTCAGGGAACTTGTGGTAAACGATTAGACTTTCTGTCATTAAACTTATTTCATTTTCATAAAGTGCTTTTCCTTAGACAATTCAATTAATTCTCTACTCTTTTCCGCCTTTAGAAAATCTGCCAAGAAGCCGACAATAAACGTGAAGATATGAAGTGGTTGGTCAAGACTTTGGATCACCTACTCAGCTATGCCACCGAAGACGAGGCCAATGCCGAACAAAAGAAGTTGGAAGACTTGATTGCTCGTTACAAGAACCTCATACCAACCATTGAGATCACCATGGTTAAGACGGAGGTGTTCTCCAAATGCTACACCTACCGTCGTGAGGTTCACGAAGTCGTGTGCCTTCTTAGCAAAGTTAAGGAGCAGGCAGCCAGCATACCACCACCCGACAGCCTGGAGCGTGTCAACAAACTAATTGAGGAGCAGCAATATGCCATCAATCAATTGGATCATCAACGTCCTCACATTATGTCCATGTTGCAGAGAGGTCGTGACTTGAGCAAGGATGTGCATGCACCATCCTTTGTCCAGGTCGAAGTTAAGAACTTGGAAACCGGCTGGAATGAGGCCTACACTGAAACTTCCGACAAGTTGCAAGCCCTGAAGGGTACCCAAGCTGTTTGGAATGACTTTTCCGATCAGAAGGCCGAAATTTGCCATCTTCTGCAAATGGCCGAAACCGAATTGCGTGCCCTCACTCCTTTGCAAACGGATCCTAAGAATGTAAGCCAAGATTTGAAGGCTAAACGTGAACTGAATGCCCAGTTGCAACAAGCCTCGCATCAACTGCTGCCCAAGTTACATGCCTTGAAGGCTGAGTTGGCTCCCTTGGCTGCAGCTGAGAAGAGACCCATCCTGGAGAAGGAAGTAACCGAAGTCGAAAAGATGTTCTTCAACACCATGGAACATGTCAAGGACCGTGTTGGCTACCTAGAAGATTACAGCGCCAAATGGAATAACTACAAGTCACGCTTGGCTGCTCTGCAAGAATGGGCCAATAAGGTAGCGCCCAAGGCCATTGAAGCTTTGCATTCGGAGGACTTGACACCCGAGGAACGTGTGATGAAGGTCAACGCTTTCAAGACTGTCTTGGGTGACCGCATGAAAGAATTGGACATCCTGGCTGCCGATGCTTCCGAATTGGCGCCCAAGGAGGGCAATATTGCTGAAGCGAAACGCCTCAAGGGAGAGATCACCAAACTGCAGGAAGTACTCAGTGCCATTAATCGCAACGTGGATCACCAAGCCCAGGCCGTCAAGGAAGATCTTGTCAATTGGCAACAATTCCAGACTGGCCTGCAGCACCTGAAGCCCATCGTGGAGGAATGCGAAATCAAGGTAAATAACATAGTCCCTAAGCCATTGTCCCTTGAAGAAGCTGTTGCTCTGCAACAGAATGCCTTACAATTTGAAAATCATTGCTTGGAGCAATTAGACCGTCTCCAAGGCATCTCAAACATTACACACAAAATGTTATGCAAACCAATGCCCCCGATGAAGTAGATGCCATGCATTCCCGTTGGACGTCCGTGCATGAGAATGCCAAACAGGCTAGTGCTAAGTTAGAAAAACTCGTCGCCAACTGGAAATCGTTTGAAAATGAAGCGGGTAAATTGGAGGATTGGGTGGAGAAGGGCGAACAAATGGTAGCCCGTAAACCCAGCATCCTCAATACGCCGCACATTGATAAGTTGGAGAACGAATTGGTTCGTCTCAAGTCGTTCAACAATGAAATATCCGAACAACAAGCCAAACTCGTGGCCCTCGGTCAGGCTGCCGATCAAATTAGCTTACATTTAGCTCCCGAAGGAGCAGTTGCCGTAAAAGACCGCGTAACTGGTTTGAAGGGCAAGCTGCAAAAGCTTTCCGAAGCCACTCGCGCCAACATCAATGAAATCTCCGATGCCATTATTGCCCGTCAAGATTTCAACGCTAAAATGGTTAACTTCTCCAATTGGATGGACTCTCTGAGGTCCCAAGTCGCCCAAGTGGAAGAAATCAATCCGGAACGTGTCGAGACAAGTTTGCATGTCATCCATGCCCTGTTGCAGGAGCATAACGACAAGAAACCTGCCTTCAATGCCATCTACGACGAAGTTAAGCAATTGTCCCTTGCCGCCTCCCCCGAGGAGAGCAAGAGCCTCAACGAAGCCTATTCCGCCTTGGTGGTTAACTATCAAAATCTCGAAACCAACATGCAACAAAAGAAGTCCTGCTTAGAAAAGTGGACGGAACTGTTGAATTGGAAACATGAGACCGAAAACCACTTGAACTACATCAAACATCAAATCGAGAAGCCCGATGCTCCGCAATCGCAGGACTTGAATAAGATAATGTCCGAAATAGAAACTATTGCCAAAACAGTGCCTTATTGGAAGACTCAAGCCAAGGAAATCGATGAGAATCCTGTCATCCATCTCAAGGATGCTCTGACCCGCAAACCATACATTGCCACCCAGATTGTGAACGATGTTGAAAACAAACTGGAAAATCTGCAACTGCGCACGCAAAATCAAAAGCAACAAATCGAACAAATGCAAGTCCGCAAGGATAAATTCCACAACTTGGAGAATAATTTAGGCCAAGCCTTACAGGACAACAGAGCCAAATTGGCTGACATCTTGAAACGCAAGCCGAACTTGGATAATATTGATCAAATCATCTGCGACTTGGTAGCACTGAATGATGCCCTCAAGGTCCAATCGGACTTGAAGAATCGCATTCACGACGAGGGCAATCAACTGATGCGCGAAGACATCGCCAGTATGCCAGCCATTCAGGAGACTCTCCTGCATTTGGACAAGGACTATGACTCCTTGCAAGGCGAAATTGCCGAACGTATTCAGAAATACCAATTGATCTCGCAGGCCTTGAGAGAATTCGCCGACTGCAAGAATAAGTTCAGCCAAGAGCTGAAGAAGGCCCAAGATTTGTATCACTCGATCCCACAACAACCCAGAGACGAGGTTGAATTGCATCAAGCCTCTGAAAAGACTCGCAAAACCATGGATCAAGTCCGCAAGTCGAAGGTGGTGCTCGATGAGTTGGACCGCAAGGTGGCCAATGTCGGAAAGTTGTTCGACAACATTGGCGAGGTCATGCCCCAAGATATACCCAAAGACTTTGCCGAAGCCAAACAGAAGTGGCAGGAGTTGCACGACAAGACCGTTAAGAATGCCCACATGTATGAGACTGAAGCGATTATTTGGTCTCAAATCGAGGACGCCAAGAAGGATCTCGTACCATGGTTGACAGAGACTAACCAGGGTTGTGTGACGCCGCCGATAACAGCATGGAAATCGAATTTGCCCCCATGCGTCTCACGAAATATCGCTCTGAGTTGCCCTCATACCAGGCCCTGAAGGATACCATTGCAGAAAAATCCGCCGAACTTCTCAAGATCAACAACAACGTTGAAATACCTGCCTTAACCGCACTCAATGAACTTTTGAATGCCCAATTCCAAGAGGTCGAGTCCAATGCGGAACGTTTGAACAGCATTACAGCCCAGTTCAACGATCAGGAACAGGAGTTGCGTAAAAACATCAAACAAGCCGGTGAAAATGTGGCCAAGCTCAGGGAACAGCTCATCAAGTGCGACGATATGTCCGGCGACAATGCCAAGATACTGGAACGTCTACAACAGTGTAGAGCTTTGCAAGGCCAGCTAGGTCAAACCGGCAACGATATTGACAATATCAAGCAGAAGGTCGAAGAGCTGCGCATCCTCTATCCCACTTTCAGTGAATCCATAATTCCCAAGGAGCTGAACAATGTCCAAAAGAGATACGAGGGCGTAGAAGTCTATGCCAAGAAAATCGAAAACTCTCTGCTGCAATTCCTGAAGAAGTTCCATGCCGATCGCGTCAACATGTTGAAGCGCATCATTCAAACGCAAAAGGAGAAGGTGAATTGGTGCCAACCCGAAAGCACTTCGGACAAATACAATTTGGATGTGAAGAAATCGTCGCTTCAAGAAGTTAGCAAAGCTTTGGACGACTGCACGAAGCGTCAGGCAGACATTGCCAATTCCCTAGAAATGTTGAAAGCCATTGAAACGCCACAAAATATGGCCGAACTTATCAAGGACTCAGAACGTCTGAATGGCGAGATGAGCGATCTACAAAAGGCTTTCGATCAAATTAAAAACATCCTCGATGAGAATGTCGATCTGTGGACTCAGTACGAGAAATCCAATGAGGAACTCAACTCTTGGCTACGAGACATTGAGGGTCGCATTAAGGCCGAGACAAGCAATCAAATCGACCTGACAAATATTCCACAGAAGATGGAGGAATTGATGCTACTGAAGCAGGACATTGACAATCACGAGCCGGTGATTAACAATCTGGAGAAGACCTCCCAGCAGTTGATTAACAAGAACCCAGAAGCCCGCATAGGTCAATTTGTGACGCACTTAGTGCAACGCTACCAGACTGTGGGCAAGGGATTGCAACAATACATGGACAAATTGAAGGACGCCTCGAAGGCCAATGACGAATACAATCGTGCTCTCAACGAAGCCACCGAATGGTTGGGCGAAGCCAAGATTGAATTCCAAGAATTGGCTAGAATGGGTTCTCCCGGCTCGTCATCAGCCACTGCACAACAATTGCAGACCATTAAGAATTATCTGAACACATTCGACAATGGTCAAGTGATCCTCAACAATGTTGTCGACCTGGGAGAGTCGTTGTATCCCACTGTGACACCCGAGAACAGGGAAAAGATTCGTGCTCAGCTAAGAAATCTAAGAGAAAACTTCGACTATTTGAGAGACGAAGCCAATGCTCTCTTGCAACAGGTCGAAGGTGTCCTCATTCAAAAGACCACAATTGAGGAAAGCTATGCCCAAGTTTCGCATTATCTCAACGAGTCCAAGGCCAAGGTCCTCAAGGCTGACGAACTCTATCCCACACTGGCGGCCAAGAAAGCTGCTCTGCAAAATTACAAGATCCAATTGCAAGAGGCCACCCTGCACAAGAATGCTTTGAAACAATTGCAGGAACGTGCTGTGGCTCTTTGCGATGATGAATCGGAACGCAAGACCGAAGAGTCCATAAACGAATACACCGACCTGGCCAAGAAAATTACCGACCGCATCAATGTCGTCACCAATCAAGTGGCCAAACACGAAGCCTACGACCAGGTATTGGAAAAGGCACAAGATTGGCTGAACACAATTAAATCGGAAGCCATAGATATTCTGAATGAGACCACTTTCGAAAAGGAAGGAGCCGAAGAGAAGCTTCAGGTCGTAGAAAATCTGTTGCAGCACAAACCTGAAGGTGACACCATTTTCGAAACTTGCCAGCAACTTCTGAACACCGTCCTATCCCAGACTCATCCCTCTGGCCATCCGGCTTTATTGAAGAGCTTCCAGGAACCCAAACAGGCCTGGGATGACTTCATGATGTTGTGCCAAGACTCGCAAGTCAAACTTAGACAGCTCTGCTCGAAATGGGATGAGTTCGAGACGGTGATTGATGAACTGGACAATTGGATGAAGAATGTCGAGGCCATTGTTAAGAATCAATCGCTGAAGAACACTGCCGAGGCCAAGAAGGCTCATCTCCAACAGTTGCTCGACATCTCGAAGGATATTGAGAAGCGTGCCAAATCCATCAATGACTTGATGGATCAAGGCCGTGAAATTGAGGGCGAAACAGATTTGAATCTGAAACTGTCCCGCCTCAATACCAGATATCAAACTTTGAAAAATCTCTGCAAGGAATCGGTGGCCAAATACCAGAACTATGTAAAGGATCACGAAGCCTTCGATCAAGATTATGAGAAATTCAAAAAGGATTTACAATCCTGCATTGATGAGTTGGAGAAGAACAAGGACATCGTTGGCGACCAAGCCATTCTGCAAGAGCGCCAAAATAAATTGCGCGACATGTCCGACAAGCGTATCAATGACAGCACTGCCTTTGAGAATCTCATCGATCGTGGTGAGAAACTCTATGGCCACACTAGTCCCGATGGTCGTGAAATCATCAGACAACAGCTCCGAAATCTACGCACCATGTGGGACAATTACACCGATGACTTGAATCAAGCCTCCCAAAAGATTGACCACTGCCTGTTGCAATTCAATGACTTCTCCATTGCCCAGGATCAGTTGACCAAGTGGCTCAAGGATGTCGATAAGGCCATGCAATCGCACACCGAACCCAAGACCACTCTGCAGGAGAAACGTGCCCAATTGCAGAACCACAAGTTGTTGCACCAGGAAATCACCACCCACAATGTGTTGGTGGACAACGTGTGCGACAAGGCCCAAGTCCTGGTCGATCAAATCAAGGACAATTCCCTGAATGTTTATTTGCAATCGATCAAGCAACTCTTCAACAACATTGTCCAGAAGTCGGAGGAGATCTTGAATAACCTGGACGATTGTGTGCAAAAACACAATGAGCTGAACAACCAAATTGCGGCTGCCAAATCCTGGATTTCGGGTGAAAAGGCCAAGCTGCTGGAGTGCGATGATGCCTATGGAGAAAAATCCGATATCAAACGCAAAATTGAGACCCTCCAGAGTTTGTCTCAGAATAAACCACAAGCCATGAAACTAGTATCCGACATTCGAGAGCAATTCGAAAAGGTGAAACCATCGACCTCCGAGAAGGGAGTCGATGTCCTCGACAAGGAAATCAACGAACTGGAGGTGACCATTAAATCTCACTTCGATGATATCGAAGGTATTGAGGGCAAACAAAAGGACGTTCTTCAGCAATGGCAGAACTTTGAGGAAAAATTGGAAGAGCTCACAAAATGGTGTCGCGCTGCCGAGGCTGTGTTCCGCGAACAACAACTGCAATCCACCCTGCACGAAAAGGTTGAACAACTGGAGAAATACAAGATTCAACGCGATCTGATTCTGCAAAAGGAGAAGGAGATCGATGCCTTTGCCGATGCGGCCCATGCTTTGCTGAACAATTGCGGAGCCGAGCGTTTGAAGACGTTGACTTCTCAAATCACCAACCGCTATCAGTTGCTGCAAGTGCTCAGCAAGGAAGTCGTGAACCGCTGGTCCAACCTCTTGATGACCATCAATTCTATCAGGACAAATACAATGAGGTTGACCTCTGGTTGGAACCCATCGAAAAGCAATTGCAAAATGCCGAAAAGGAAGATGCATCCCAAGTGTCGAACATCCTTCCCATTCTACTGTCGGAGAGGGAACAAGCCGACACCTTGTTTGCCGCTCTCAATGCTGCCGGTGAAAAGGCCTTGCCCGAAACTTCCACCCAAGGTCGCGAGAAATTGCGCAAGGAAATGCGTGATATTCGCGATCGCTGGGACAAATTGGACGAAGGTATTCGCAACTTGCAAAAGAAACAGGAAGCCCAGACAGTTCAACTCTCCAGCTACCAAGACATACTTGGCCAAGTGGTCAATTGGTTGGATCAAGTTGAGAAGGCAGTGCAGAATGAGAATCCCTCAACCTGGACCAGTGCCCAGGAGATCCGCTCAAAGCTCTATAAATTCAAGACCACCCAGCAGGATATCAATTCGCATAAGCGTATAGTTGAGGCTGTAAATGAAAAGGCCGGATTGTTGCAGAGTTCCGCTTTGCCAGCCAATGCCGCTGAAATCAAGCAGGCTGTCGAGAAGGTGAACCAGAGATACGACAAAGTCTCTGCCGATTGCAACAATTTACTGCAACAGCTGGAGGAAGCCTTCGACGTATATCAACAGTTCAGTGAATTGCAAAAGGCCCAACAGGACTACCAGAAGAACCTTTGGGATCGTTTGACCGGCTACTCTGACTATTCGGGTAACAAACCAGCCTTGCAGGCTCGCCTGAATAAGGTCAGCGAGATTATGGATTCCCTACCTGAAGGCTTGCAAAAACTACAGATTCTGTCCGATCACATTGACAACAACACCAAGGTCTTGCCAGCTCGTTCCAAGGAGGCGATGACCCGCGATCTCAGCAACTTGCGTGCTGACTTTGAGAAGTTCTCAGCTGCTCTGACTGATGTTAAGAGCGGTCTAGAAAGTCGCCTGCAACAATGGAATGACTATGAGGTCAATTTGGATCAGCTAATCTCATGGCTGGGCGAATCGGAAAATGCCCTGAAGAACTATAATCCCAAGGCCACTTTGGAAGAGAAGGAAGAACAGCTGAACAAATTCCAGAGTCTTAACCACAATTTGCGCCAAAAGGAAGTAGAGTTCGAGAAAATCAAGGACGACTCCTCCGAGTTGATCCAAAGTTCGGGCGAAACTCGTATTGCTGTCAACGTGCAACAGGTTACGTCGCGATTCCAATCTATCCAGACCACCACAAAGGAGATTTTGAAGAAGTGCGAACAGGCTGTTCAAGATCACCAGATGTTCAACGAAAAGTACAAGCAATGTTCCGATTGGTTGGCCAGTGCCCAAGCCAAATACGACGATAGTAGCGATTTAAGCCAGGTCGGCTCCCGCGATGATTTGCTCAAGAAACAAATTGCTGTCCAGGAACTTTTGGCTCAACAGCCTTCTGCCACTTTGCTGCTTAACAATACCATTGAGTGCGGCGAGAAGTGCTACCCATCAACAGCCACCGAAGGACGCGAAGCCATACGATCGCAACTGGAAGAATTGCAACAAACGTTCGATCAACTCTTCGACAACATCACCAGCAACAGCCGCAAGATCCAAGACAAAATGTCTAAATGGTCCGGTTTCGACGAAATCGCCGAAAAACTCAAGAGCTGGTTGGCCGAAATTGAAAAGGCAGTACCCGGCGAAATTGAACTCAAGACCACCTTGGATGAAAAACGGGCCAAGTTGCAGAATTACCGCGACTCTCTGAACGACATACAGAATCACCAAGCGGAAATTGGCAATCTGCAAGAAATCGCCGCCAATTTGCCCGAGAAGACGGAGCATGTCGAAGCGGCCACCAAAGAAATTGTGGACCGCTACAACAAAGTCCAGAAGAGAGCCCAGCAATATGTGGAGAACTACGAACGCATTGTAAGTGCCCACCAGCAGTACTGCAAGGCCGTTATGGATGCCCAGGAATTCATCGAATCAACCCATTCCACCATTGACTATTGGGGAGATTTGGACTTGGAACAGGTATCTCTGCACACCAACTTGGATCGCTTGAAGAATTTGAAGGCCAGTTTGGCCGATGAATTCCCCCGCGTGGATCAAGTTAGATCTCTGGGTGAGAAGGTAATTCCCGGCACCGTAGACGCCGGTCAAGTGAATATCAAGACCCAAATCGACAACACCCAACAGGAGTGGGAGGGTTTGATTGCCGAACTTAATTCCACCATAGAAGCCATCGAGTTGCGTCTCCAACAGTGGTCCGACTACGAACAGTTGCGTGACCAATGCTTGGCCTGGATTAGAGACTGTGACAATAAGTTGCACTCCATCGACTTGAAACCAAACTTGGGCGAAAAGAAATCTCAATTGGAGGAGTTGAAGAATTTGCAAGGCGAGGTCAGAGCCAAGGAATTGGAAATTGACAATGTCTCCGAAAAGGCTCAGCTGCTGATGAAGGGTCCCTCGGCATCACGTAGCTCTGGACCTGAATTGGTCACGAAATACCAACAGCTCTTCCACAAAGTGAAGGAACTTAACAATCGTTGGCAACAGTATGTCACTACCCATCAAGACTTTGAGAATAGCATTTCGGAATGCACCTCCTGGATAAATGGCATTAAGGAAAAACTCGACTACTGCTCCGACATGAGCTCGATGAGTCAAAAAGAATTGGACAAGAAATTGGCTACCATCCAAGATATCATCCTCATGAAAGACGAAGGTTCTGCCAAGGTGCTCAGCATCGTGGAAATGGCTCAAAACGTTTTGGCCAACACGGCGCCCAACGGTCACGACGCCATTAACAAAGAATTGGCGGACTTGCAAGAATTATGGTCGGCAATTGCCCTGCGCATCGTTGATGTCAAGGCTCAGCTGGATGATTCCATAACGCAATGGTCTGGTTTCCTGGAGCAGGTACAAAATGTTTCGAAATTCAACGATTGGTTGGATAACACATTGAAGGAGCTCTCCGAACTACAAGCCACCATGCCTGAGAAGAGAGCACAACTGGATCGGGTCAAGACAACTGAGGAAAAGGTGCGTGTCGAGAAGATCGACGTCGATGCACTTAAGTCGCAGGCCAAGGATATGATTGCCAGTGGCCAGCAAAGTCAGTCGGCCTTCCAGGCCCAAAAGGTTTTGGACCGATTCGACGAATTGGCGGCCAAGTCGCAGAAATTGCTGTCCGAAAGACAAGATCAGTATCGCGATCACAGGTTGTACAAAGAGGCCTATGATGATTTGGTAAGCTGGATTAGCAGGGCCCGCGAGAAGTTCCCCTCGTTGAAGCAAAGCTCACTGAGCGATAAACTGGCCATAGAAAATGCTGTACAGGCCACCGAAAATATGCTGAACAAACAGGCCCAAGGTGAGTTGTTGGTTGAACACCTGACGCACACTGGTGAAGTGGTGCTGGCCAGCACATCTCCACAAGGTCAGGAAATCATACGCAATGATATCCGCTCTTTGCGTGACAGTTTCGAAAGTCTGTTCCGCGACATTAACTCGCAAAAGGAGAACCTTGAAGAAACTATGTCGCAGTGGCGTACCTATAAGGAGGAGTACGAGCGCCTCATTGAGTGGCTCCAACAAATCGATGTTTTGGTCAAGAACCATAAACTCAACCTTATGCCCAACTTGCCGGAAAAAGAAAAACAGGTGGCTGATATGCGCGACATCATGAAACGGTTAGAAAAGGGCAAGGACGACATTGAGAAATTCAATAAATCCGCAGCAGACCTACTAAAATCCCACCTCGATACGTATGTCAACAATCAGTTGAGACATTTGAACTCAGTCTATCAGGTGCAGGTCAACCTGGCTAAGGATGTCCTCAAGAAGGTCGAAACCAATTGCGAACAACACCGTGAATTCAATGGCAACATGAAAGCGGCCCATGCTTGGATCGAAAACGCCAAGGAAGTCATTCGTGAATGTAGCGAATCTTCAAGTGCCGGATCGAAGGAGCTTTTGGAGAAGCGCTTGGAAAAGATTCAGGAACTTATACGCAACCGTGAGGTGGGTCAGAATCTTGTCCACACCGCCATTAACAATGGCGAGAAGGTGGTGCGCAACACTCGCTCCGATGGCCGCGATGCTATCAACAGTGAAATGAAGGATTTGCAAAACGACTGGGACCGCCTGGTCAAGAAAATGTCCACGGCCAAGGTGCAATTGGAAACGAATCTCTTGCAATGGGCCGATTACAGTTCCAGCTATTCCCAGCTGCAACAATGGATTCAAGATCGCGAGGCCAAGTTGCAACAGGCTTGTGAGCAGAAGATTACAAAGTCCAAGGGCCAACCACGCTTGAGCAGTGGTTTGAGCGAACGCAAGGCCAACTTGAGACAGACCAACAACATTGTCCAGGATATAGTCTCCTTTGAACCCATGATTCAATCTGTCACCTGCAAGGCTTCCGATTTGCAACAGGGAGCTCCAGCTTCGGAAATTTCCAGCAAATATGAAACCCTTACCAAGCAGGCCAAGGATCTGTACGAAAAGCAAAAGAATACTATCGATCAATACCAGGCTTTAATTGATGCCGGCAATGACTTCGCCACATGGTTGCGCAACGCCAAGGAGCGCCTCAGCAAATGTTCCGAACCCACTGGCGATAAGCAGGCCTTGGCTGAGAAAACTCATCAGCTTAAGATTTTGCAAGGTGAAGTACCCGAAGGTCAAAAGAAATTGGAAGCTGCCTTGGAACAAGGTGAAATCGCTTGTCGCAGTGCCGAGCCCGAAGATCGTGAGATCATTGAACAAGAGGTGGCTCTCTTGCAGGAAGAATTCGATGCCTACGTGGACAATCTTAAGAAGACCAAAGACTATTTGGAAATGGGCATTGTCAAGTGGTCCGACTATCAAGACCAATATACCGAGGCTTTGGATTGGTTGACCAAAACCGAGGTTTTGGTTCAATCCTACAACAAATTGCAGGAGAACCTGATTCAAAAGAAGGTCGTATTGGAGGAGTTCCAAGGACACTTGCAGACTCTGTTCGACTGGCAGAAGACTTTGGATCACTTGAACATGAAGGCACAAATGCTGTTGGAGACTTGCTCCGACACCCGCATCAGTAATGCCGTTATGCAACTGACCACCAAATACAACGCGCTGTTGACTTTGGCCAAGGAAGTGATGCGTCGTCTTGAGATGCACTATCAAGAACACCAACAACATCACACCCTCTACGAAGAGTGTCAGTCATGGATTGAGCAGACCCGTGAGAAGTTGCAGAAATGCGAGGTCATACCGGGTACTTTGAGTGAGGTCCAAGCCAAATTGAATACCGTAAAGAATCTGAGACAAGGTTTCGAATCGGGTCAAAATAAATTGCGCTACTTGATGGAATTGAAGGAAAAGGTTATTATGAATACCGAGCCCACTGGAGCCGCCAAGGTTCAAGAGGACACTGATGCCTTGAAACAGGACTATGACGATTTGCTGACACAAATGAATGATGTCAAGCAGAAGTTGATGAACCGGTTGGCTCAGCTGGAAGAAATCTTCAAATTGTACAAACTTCTGCAAGAATGGCTGGAGGATGTTGAGCCTAGTCTCAAGACCACCGGTGAGTTCCTCAACGATTTGAGTGAGAAGAGAGCCGCTCTGGAGAAGTTCAGAGCCATACAGAGAGATTTCAATGGCCACAGCGACATCGTCGAGAAAATCAATAAACGTCTGAATGAAGACAACTCTTTGGATCGCAACGATTTCAAGCCTGGCATGGATAAGTTCGATGAACTGCAAGCCAAGGTCAATTCCATCATTGAATCGCTGGAGAATCAAGTAAACAATCACGATAAATACAAGCAAGCCTTCAACGAGACCCAAGAATGGTTGCGCAAGACTCGCATGGACATCGAGCAGTGCTCCGACTGTCATGGCGAGAAGCAACAAGTCGAAGATCGCATTAACAAGCTGGGCGAAATCGATGCCACAATGCTCGAGGGCAAGTCCTTGTTGGAGGCATGCCAAGAACTTTCCCAGGCTGTCATCAACACCAGCGGCAGCGAAGGCCAAGACACAGTGCAACAAGAGATTAAACATCTGAACTCCGAATGGGAAGCCATTCAAGTCATGTCGCGCGATGCTCGTTCCAACTTGGAGACATGCCTGAATGTATGGTCGAGCTTCTTGCAGAAATTCAATAAGATCAATAAATGGATCGAAGACATGACCAAGAGAGTCAATCAAGCCAACGAATCGGAAAATAAGACCCCCGAAGATTTGGTGAATGCCAAGGTAAGTGCCACCAGTCGCCACCAGGTGGCATAACTAAATGTACTGTGACTACCACACGCTTTCGTAGAAACAAAAAATAAAACCAAACGGCACCACTAACCCCCCTATCTAAGCAACTTCCAAATGCGAAACAACAACAACACCCTCACAAAAGCACTTCGTGAAATCATTTCAATTCGTATTCTAACCTTAGGTATTTAAGATTCCAGCACCTCTGTAATAACTAAGCTAACCCCGCAAACAAAACTATATCCTTGTAAATCAATTAATCCCTTTACGAACTAATTGCCTTTCTCCTCCATACTAAACTACTCACTTGCGAACAGTGGTCGAATAAAATGTAATCTAATCCCCTTGCTTTCTCCTCTGTAGAAACTCTTGGAAGAAGTTGTCGCCGAAAAGGATAATGTCGAAGAACTGAATGATTCGTGTGAACTGCTGATGGAGCACAGTGCTTGTTCCAGAGTTAGAGATCAAACGGTTGACACCCAAGCCAACTACACCAAATTGCTGACATCCGCTCAAGGTAGGTTGCTTAGGGGAAATGTATGATTACCCACCGTCAATTCTAATGTATTTTTTTTACCTGCTCTCAGGTTTGGTGGCTAAGATCGAAAAGAACTTGTCGGATCACACCGAATTCTTGAACTATAAAAACGAAATGGATGCTTGGATCGAAAAGGCCCAACACATTTTGGATGGCTGCAACGGCGAGGGTGATATCCAACAAATTACTCAGCAAATTGAGACCGTTAATGTAAGTTGTTGTTATTTTTATGAAAAAAATTAACGTCTGAATTTTTATTCTTCTTATCCAGTCTTTGTCATCGCGTTTGCCCGAAGGCCAACATCTTTTGGGCATGGTTCAAGATGCCTATACCAAGGCATCAAATGTCCTGCCAGAAGATAAACAAGAGAAATTACGTGATCTTATGACAAAGGTGCGTGAGGATTGGGACACATTGGGTTTGGCTGTTAAACAGAAGTTGATCGATTTGAAACAAGCCCAAAATCGCTGGTCCGACTTTTCTGCCAACAAAGAGAAGCTCGACAAATGGTTGAGCGACATGGAGCAGACCCTTAAGACTGTGCCAGATACTAAGGGCGAACTTGGTGAGATGAAGACCCAATTAGAACGCTACAAGACTATGCAGAACGACATCAAGCTTAAGGGCTCAGAATTGGAAAACCTAATGTCCGAAGCCAAGGAACTGGGTGTTGATTTGGATGATGTCCATCGCCTGCAAGGTCGTTGGGATAAGGTCAAGAACGATTGCAACAATCACATCAAGGAATTGGAATCCGAAATCAATGACTACACCTCTTATCATCAAGCCTTGCAAGATGTTGAGAAGTGGTTGTTGCAGATTTCTTTCCAACTCATGGCTCACAACTCGCTCTTTATATCGAATCGCCAACAAACCCAAGAACAAATCAAACAGCATGAAGCATTGCTGGATGAAATCCAGAAATACCAAGCCAACATTGATGACCTCAATGCCAAGGGTCAAAATCAAATAAAACGCTACGAACCTACCACACCTGCCATTCGCGACACAGTCGAATCCCAATTGAAGAACATTCAGGACAGCTACAATTCCCTGCTCCAAACCTCCGTACAGATACGCAATCGCCTGCAAGAGTCCTTGGCTAAGTTCCAAGAGTACGAAGACACCTTGGACAGCATTATGCGTAATTTGGAAGAATATGAACCGATTATTCAAACGGAATTGGATGCTCCAGCCACCACCTTGGAAATGGCTCAGAATCAATTGAAGTGTGCCCAGAATATGCAAAACAAATTGAATCACGAAAAGTCACGTTTGGCCAGTGCCGTGCAGGCATGCGAGGCAGCAACCGCATCCATCAGTCGCCCCAGTTCACCGCTGGAAACAGCTATGCAAGTTATTCCAGAGCGTGAATTAATTGTGCGCGCCAAGTTGGAAGATCTGCTGGACCAGGTATGTACTAGGCGGATTAAATAGGCATCTATATGACGTAGTTTTATATATTGACTTATGTTTGTTTCTGTTGTTGTTATTTTTATTGTAGTTTGAAATAACGATTTTGATAATTTCTCATCTTTATTTAAGGCTTTAAGAGTTTGCAAATTATTCTGATATTAGTTCAAAAAGTAATTAGGAGGGATATAGACGATATTCTATACTGACAAAGAAGCTATTGTAGCACATTCACACAACTTTGCTGAACGGATTTCTAGTTACAATTTTTAACTTTTCTAATCCAAGTTGGATTTTCTGTAAATTATAGTCCTTGTTAGATAATAGTTTTAGGAGATCCAACCAATAACTTTGATATATTTACTACTCTGTGGGGGCATTCGTTTTGAAATTAGACTTAGAATCAAGATGGACGGTAGATAACAGAATAACCCAAACATCTGTAAACTCACTGAAGTAGGTCGATACTTTTTAGAGCATTTTATATTTATGTAGAATAGTAGCAGTAATCGTCTTTAGAACACATTTTGCAAACTCTGCTTATTTTTAATATTTTTGTTTTTTTTTACTAATAACCATAATTATATTTTGTTTTTTATTTTTTTTCCTTTTATTTGCTGCACTATGCACTTTATATCCATATGTTTGTGTTTTGCAAAACAAATACCCCGCAAAATCCTTAATTTTATTTTGTTGTGCCTCTAACACCTTTAAAACGCCCAAATCCACCCAAAAAACAACCAACAATGCTTCCACCTCCTATAATTTAATGAACAACAAAATCAACACCAAAACAAACAACAACAATATAATGCCAACAAACAGATACCCAGTAAACAAACTCAAAACTCAACGCAAGACAACGAAGATGATCTGCTAGACGTTGAGATTTCTGAAGTTAGTGATACTTTACTGGACGCCGTTTCACATGAACGTATTCAGAGATTCAAAACCATAATACGTTCCGAAATATATATTGTCCACACATTGTATGCTCTAAAGACTAAGGTAAGCTAAACTAACTCTTCTACAGTTATGTGAGTGTGATGTCCCGACATATGTCCAGGCCAAGTCCTGCTAATGGAAAGAACGTAAATTTAAAGAAAAAAATTGGGAAATTGTTATGGTATTTATGGTGTTGGCAAAAATCTCCTTCTTAACGCTTCTTTTTAATTGGCTTCTTTGTTGATTTCTATGGCGTTGTGAAAACAATGTTTTTCTAATAATCCCCCTTTTGTTTATCCTTTATAGGTTCAATCCCACTTGGGTGGATTGATTGCCTCCGTTAGTGAATTGGAGCAACAGCAGAAACAACGCGCCGAATTGGGTGACTGGATTAAGAAGCAACAGAGCTCGGTGACAGATTGGTTAACCAGACCATGCAAATTGCGTCCCGAAGCCGCCAAACAGGAGTTGGTTGCCATGAATGACTTGTTGAATTCCATTGGAGTCAAGCGCTCCCAATTGATGTTGGAAATGACTGGATCACGTAAGTCGAAATGAGATAATTAACATTTTGAAATGGAATAGTGGAATTAGTCTGTCAGTGTATTTTCAATACCTTTTTTTTCCAAAGAACATATTAAAGTATTTTCAAAAAATTTCGGAATAACCAATAAAGGGGGTTTGGGTCACAATAAAGTTATTTTTATAACTCAAATCCCATTCGTAATCTTTCTACAAATCCTAATGTACTAAACTCTCTTCATTTAGTTGCTGAAGATGATACAGATCTCGATGACAACATTGACAAATTGGAATCAGCACTCATGGATGCCATTGCCAAGAAACAAGCTGGCCAAAATGTTATCGACAACTATCGCCAGGGCGTACAAGATATGCAGAATTGGATCGATGGCTTGATCAAGCGTATGGATGTTCTCGACAAGGGTTCCGGCTTGAATTGTGCCCAAAAAATGGCTGCCATTTCCGAAATTAAGAACGAATACCAACAACAAGGTCCTCAAAAGCTCCAAGAACTAAAGAACAAGGCTGCCCAAGTGGCCGAAGTCATCAGCAATTTGGATGGCCAACAGGTTGAGGAACAAATGAAATCATTGGACCGCCGCTATGCCGATTTGGGCAAGCGTTTGGATCGCAAGGCCCAATTGTTGGATGTGACCAATAAGAGTGTTGGTGGTGTCAAGGGTGAAATTGATCAACTTCAAAACTGGGTCAAGGATAAAATCCAAGAACTACAAGCACCCACCACCTTGGGCTACGAACCTAAGGCCGCCGAGGCTAGACAGCAAGCTCTTAAGGCTCTAATGAAAGATGCCGAAGGTAAGCAGTCGTTGGCCGATGCTCTGGAAAAGAGAATTGCCAATATGCAGCCCGAATTGGAACCTGCAGAATATGCCCAATTGGAATCGGCATTGCGCAATTTGAATAGCGAACAAAAGAATTTGTCGGGAGTATTGAAATCTGAAATGGAGAAGGCTTTGGATGCTGGCAAGGCTCGCAAAGCTCTGGAGAATGATCTGGAGAAGGCTCGTGCCTGGTTGAAATCCAAGATATCCGAAGTTAGAAAATTACCAGTCTATCATCCACTGACCTCGGCCGAAATCGAAGTGAAACTGCAAGAGAACAAGAAATATGATGACGATGCCAAACAATTCAGCGATAGCGTGCTAAGCGATGTCCAACGCCAGGCTGCAAATATAATGAAGGATTGTTCGGATGCCGACAAGGCTGCCCTGCAAAAGATTTTGGATGAAATTGATGCCGACTACAAGACACTCAAGGATGAAAGTGCCAAGCGAGGCAAGTCCTTGGCAGATCTATTGCAAGGTCGCAAGGCCTTTGAAGACGCCAAGAAGAAGATGGGCGATTGGCTCAATGAAATGGAAACTGCCACCGAAGGTGAACTGAGAACCTCAAGCCTTCCTGTGTTGGAAGAACAGCTGGCCCACTACAAGAAACTTATGGAGAATGCCGATGGCATGGGTGGTCTGATGAACGACGTCAATGAACAGGGTAAGAGCATCGTGCCCACTCTAAGCAATCCCGACAAGCTTAAGTTGAACGAGGAGCTGAAGAATATGAAGGACCGTTATGGTAAGGTTAAGCAGTGTTTGGCCGACCGAGTTAACACCTTGGGTGATCACATCAAGAAATATAAGGATGCCAAGTCTAAGCTTACCGAATGCATGGACTTCTTGAACACTGTCCAGCAACGTTTGCGCGATCTTAATAAGCCAGTTGGCTCCAAGATTGAAGACGTCCAGGAGTTGTTGGGTGCCTACGAGAGCATTCTCAAGGAATTGAAGGACAGTAAACAGAAAATGGGCGACATGAAAGTTGATGATCTGCCAGAATTGCAGAGCATTTTGGCTCAACAGGATGATATGATTAAGCTCATAGAAGATCAATTGGCCCATTTGAGACAATTGCTGTTGTTGCGCGAACAATTCATTGCCCTGATCAATGAGATCATCGCCTTCATCATGAAATACACCGATGTCATTATTGACATTGAAAACGCTCCCGATAGCTTGGAGGAGAAGATCAACAAATACGACGATGTCATTGCCAAGATCCAGGAATGTGAAGGTGTTTTGGCCTCCGCAACTGATAAGGGTCAGAAGATTGCCTCCGAAGGCACTGCTGCCGACAAGAACTCCATTACCGAGCAGCTGCAGTCGTTGAAGAACCAATTGGGTAATCTGCGCAAGGCTGTCGAACAACAAAGACAGAAACATCAAATCCAATTGGAACACCACAAGAAAATGGCTGCTGAATTGTCTGAAATCCTCGACTGGTTGCACAACAACGAAGGCACAGTCAAATCCAGACCTCTGCTCGATCGCGATCCCGATAGTGTTGAGCGTGAACTGCAGAAACACAAGGATCTCAGCTCTGAGGTACAATCCTATCTGGATAAATTCAATAAAATCAACAGTGGCATTAAGAGCGAAGTTGGCATGCCCAGCTCCCTTGTTGAAATGTTGTCGGAAGGACGTTCGTTGGTATCCTCATTGCCACAGGAATTGGAGGAGCGTGAGAAATATCTCATTAATAACCGCAATTCCCGCCTGGACTACATGAAATTGGTATCGCAATTCAAGGATTGGTTGCATGAGGCCGAGGATCGTTTGCAAGTTGGCAAACACGGCATTGATTATGAGAATCTGACACGTGATCTGGAAGAGCACAAAGTGTTCTTCGGCAATGAACAGCCCATACGCAATTTGGTGCACAAACAGATTCAAGATGCCGCCGACAAGATATGGCCATCCCTCAATAACTTTGAACAAACTGAGCTGTCTGCCGAACTGTCCCAATTCCAGACAAAACTGACCAATACCTTGGCCCAGGCTAAGACCCAACAGGGTGAGTTGGAAAAGGAGAACGAGTTGTGGCGTGAGTATCAACAATCAGTGGACCGTGTCAAGGCTACCATTGAACGCTCGAAGTTCTCCGATGAGCCAGTGCAGAATTTGGCTGGTGTTCACTTCAACATACAGAAATTGACCCATGCCATTGGTAATGTTCAGGTGAGTAAAAAATTGCATTTATTGCGGGATAATCTCTCTTGAAATCAAATATGTAATAATGATATTTATTGTTTGGGGCTGTGTAAGTGTTTATTTATTACACCAATTTAGGAAAACTCGAATCGATTATCAAATTAAATGATTTTAATTTCAAACGAATTTTGGTCAAGGTAATTTAAAAAAAAACAAGTATGTTTTATAGCGAAATATGTTCTGTGTTTTACATGTACGGTCAACAAAACACCATCCATTTGCAAAGCATAAGTAGCATTTCTGTTTGGTTTGCCTACCCAAAAAAAACGTAATTGTTGCAAACTCCTTTAAAGGTATACCCACACGCTTGTCGTCAATCAGTCGCCAAGCATTTGTGAGTTTGGGGAATTATGCAACTCAAGTGTGTTTTGCATTTGTTATGTAGGCTGGAGGTCTGACATAAGGTAGACATAAAAAAATTAAAAATGATTTACATATGTATTTTGTATAGTGTGCCATATTTTTAGGCAGCTTTTATATTTTGCCAGTGTGCATGAATATTGATTCCATTAATCATCAAGTCGAATAACCTGAGTGATTTTTTTTTTTTGCTTAAAACTGTAGGATTCTTGAGCATTGATTTTTATATCATATATTTATGCATGTCCGTCTATTGGCAACACAATAGAATTTTAAATATTTTAGATGGAGGTTTTCGTAGGATGTTTGACATGGAAAACAGTACATCGGTCCACGTTAATGCATTCAGAATTTTGAGGTTACATTCAGTTATATTTCATCTGCAATTTGTATACCTTCCACCACAGTATGGTGTATATTAGGTTCGTTAATTTTATTTACAACACCTCGTTGAAAAATTATTATTGTTTTTATAAAAACAACTTTTATTTATTAGTGAAGAAAAATGTTATTTTATACCAAGATTTAAGGAAGGGAAAACCTTGGTTTCGGTAAGAGCCATTAATTTCAAAATCAATGCATTAATTTCAAAATCAATGTATGTCAATCCACCTAAATATTCAGAGAGAAACCATACATATAGAACATTGAAAATAGGAAAAGAATGTTTTTTATACCCTCAGCCATATGGCTAGAGAGGATATATATCATTTGATAGGACCAAAACGTGACTCATGAAATAACGGTTTTAGACCCTAGGTCTCTTTGGGCCAAATCCGTTTCAGGATATTTGGAGTTGGCTTAGTGATGTGCGTCCGTCCGTCTGTTCGATATCCCTTGAAGGAAGTATTCGATTTGGTCCAAATTTGATATATCGTAATATTATTATCAAACTCAGATCGATTATGGAGATGGACAATATCGGTATACTCCTTCTCTCCCCCACAAAAGGTCGAAATTTTCAAAAAATGTATTTTCTGCACAGAAAGAGAAACGATAATCCGATTTTGCTCCAACTTTGAAAGTCCTAATATTTGCGTCAGTGCTAGGTCAGGTGCGAAAGTTGACAATATCGGTCCACTGTATTAAGTACATCCCCCACAAAGGGTCAATCTTTTTAATAAAATGTGATGTAAGAGTCCTTTTATCTTCAAATTTCACACTCTCCAATAATTTTAATAACCCAAGGTGTGGTGTTAAGATGGAATATATCGGTCCACTCCTTTGGTACCTCCCCATAAAAGGTCGGGATTTTCAAAGAGAAACGATAATCCGATTTTTCTCCAACTTTTCAAATCTTAATATTTGCGTCAGTTCTAGGTCAGGCGCGAGAATGGGTAATATCGGTCCGCTCTATCAAGTTCCTACTCACAAAGGATCCAAATTTTTGAATTATTACAACTGTTATAAAAAGTGATGTAAGAGTCCGATCGTCTTCAAATTTTACATATCCCAATAATTTTATGAACCCAAGGTCTGGTGTTAAGATGGAATATATCGGTCCACTCCTTCTGGTACCTCCCCTACAAAGGGTCAACATTTTGAATATCCATGAAGCTCATAAAACGCGAAATAGACATTAGATTCCATTTAGACTCGTCACGTCTCAATATTTCTATCAACACAAGATCTGTTATGAAGATGGTAGAGTTCAAACCATTGCTTCTGGTACCTCCCCCACAAATGATCAACGTTTTGAATAACCAAAACGATTATAAAATCCTATATAAACATCCGGTTCATATTTCACACATCCCATTATTTTTACCAACACAAGATCTGCAGTAAATATTGCCCACTCCCCCACATAATATTTGAATATGCATGAAGCTCGTAAAACGAGAAAGCGAAATAAGCATCCAACTCTTCTCAAATGTAAATACTTTTAAGGTTTTAGGCGTACTTTCAAAACCAAATTAGTTGTAATTTGTTGGTTTAGGAGGGTATTAAACCTTTCTAAAATTTCACGAGAATTTGGTCTACCATCTATTTTTATACCCTACCCTACCGTGGGTATTATGTCTTTGTGCATGTATTTGCAACATGCAGAAGAAAACTTAATAGACCCATGCTTCATTTTGGCGATCTTCTCAGAATCACATTCTGAGTCGATTATAGAATAGATGTAAGAATTTAAAATTTGTTTCAAATATTGCTTTCTCCCCATACATATGTTTTATCCGATTTGATATTGAAGTCCCCCAAAAAAAAATCATAACAACGATATTCGGTACAATATGTCAGATGAATCCTAGAAAAACGTTTACCAAATTTTCCTGAGATCAGTTTAGATTTAGATATAACTCTAAATACGAGCAGTGATATAGGGTGTTAAGTAGTCTTTTCTTGCTGTTTCGGAAGTTGGACGTGTAAAATTTTGAGGGATTTGTGGAGAGCAGAATTGGAGATTTTCATTCAATTTTTCTTTAATGGCTACCAAATAACTCTAAACCAGCTCCTAAAATAATTCGAACTCTTACACGTTACTTAGATTGTTGGAATTACCGAATTTCTTATATCGACATCCCTATCCTATTAAATAAGCCAACACTCTCAGTAATATATGGACTTCCACATACGAACTTCACTTAAGCAGAGCCGCAAAAATAACATCGTTCAAGCACGCAGTTTGTCTGGCTGTGACAAACAAGATAAACGTTTCGCGTTTTCATTATCCATGCGGCTGGCTGACTGGCCATACCCCCACCATTCGTATCATTTGTATCTCTGGTCGTCATGCCATACATTTCGTATACAAGTATCTTCAAGTTACTGCCATCCATCCAGGCCTTGCATGACTTGTCTAGTCTCTCTTGGCCAAAAACAAAATAAAAGGAAAACAAAACAGCTGAGTTGGGTAGAAGATGAATGTGTCTTATCCAAGTAGTGGCGAATGAGAAGTTATTCAATGCAGGCACACTCTGTGTGCCATCGTAAAGAAACAAATAAATCGATTTCTCTTTAATCTCCCAAGTTTTCTCTCCCCCAAAGCGACGACTCTTTTACAAGGCAAATTGTTCTTGTTTTTTTTGGCATTTGAGTACCGGCAAATGATGATGTCATTGTTAATTGTAATTGTCCAACAACGTGCTCCGCCGTTGATAAAGCTCTCAATGGGAGAGCTTAACACAATTTCTTTGCGCTCATGCAGAAAATTTGTTAGCCATACAATAAAAAAGAGAGTTTTCAATTGTCATATGGTTGTGGTTCATATTCAAGTTTCAGCTACTTTTACCGGTGTTTAACCGGCATATGACAGGAAAAAAAGGGAAAAGACATCGAGCAAGTCAAACCAGTCCTAAGGAATCCCAATAGGCCAGTTCTTGCCCGCATACAAGAAAAGTTGGTATCATTTGAATTGCATTTCTAAAATGGCGAAGGAATTTTTATGGGCTAACACAGCTATTTATAGAATGGTTGTTAGCAACAAAATATTACCGGTTGAGAGGTTATTTTACAGTTCTTTATATACCCCAGAAATATTGAAAAAATTAAAAAGAAACACTAATAATAAAGGCTTGATTTGATACAATGTGTAGATCACAGAAAGTGGTACCTAAATATTTTTTTGAAAATAACCAAGTTTTACCTAAGTATCCAAACCACGCCATCGATCTTCTCTTTTAAATTGATTATAGACACATTGTAAAAGGCAGAGAAAACATATTTTTTTTATTAATTTAAAAAAGAGTTCAGCCATTCGCAATCTGTTCCAAAGCAAAGAGAGCAACTTCTAAAATACTACAATTATTGCGATTATTACAATCTGAATACACAGTACCCAGAAATTCAAACTGTTACGTTCCATACAGTTTTCATTAAATTACCTAAAAAACAAGTTTTATTTATTTGTATAATTGCCAAATAATATTAATTTCGGAAGCAATTTACAGCTGATTCTCGCATGAGTAAGAGAGGAACATTTTAACCATGTGTGTGTATGAGTCAAATACATTACTTTTTCAATTACTAAATTAACACTAGATCAATTCGAAATACCACAAAATTCAACAAAGGTGAATTTAATCCGCAGCATCAACTTCCTCCTAGGAAACAAATCTTCAGTTGTTAAAAAAAAAACATACAAAAGTCTTTCTTGGAATGCAACAACAAATGTCTTTACATTGTTACATACATATGTATGTGCTATAGAATTTCAAAACTGTCTGCAATGACCAGACATTATTAAATACTGTCTCTTCCGTGTTCTTTGGCCATAAAGGAATGTAATGAAAATCGTTGCTGACAATAGATTTCCCCCACACAGAAGCATCTCTCTGTGATGCATGCAGCCGGTCTAAACATTTGTTGTTTCAAAGTGTTTTTTTTTTGTTTTGGCCCTAACTTAGACCGGCTTATTGTTATGGACTCCACCTTAAAATTGTCTCATATATGTAATTTGGTGTATGTGTGTGTGTGTCAGCCTGTTGTGAGAGATAGATAGAGAATCTCTTTGGTTGTATGGCAATGCGAAAAAAGTGTAATTGATGACGTTAGCCAAGCACAACACGAATGGGAACTTCAAGTAAAACGTGTTTTTCATGGTTACCCCCGAAAATGGTTGGTTGCCCATTTGATGAGATACTTTTTTCTGGTGTCTACTCGAGTTTAGTTTCTCTTCGACTCTTCTCTCACGAAATGAGGTTGGAGAGGTATCTAGGGTTGCCAGTAAGACGGGAGTTTTAGTTGGAAATTAGAAATGTAGGTATTAAGGTTTAGGTCCTGTACAGAGCTGCTTTCCACATTAGCGGATGGAACCTTTTCATAGTTTTTGTTAAACGTTTAACAAGTCAACGTTTTTAAAATAAATGAATAAAAAGTAAAATTTTGTGGGACTTTTTGTATTCTCCCCAAAAGAACTCGAGACCTCTTAAAAATATATCCCTTCGCCTGAATCAAATGAAGGTATTGTTTTGAAAATCATTACTCTCTGTAAAAGAGAGTATTCTAACGTTAACCCAATGAGGATGAATATCCCAGACTTAAGCAATCTGCTGTATAAAATATTGTTTTTTTTTTCTAAACATTTTGGAAATATTTAATTTTTTTTAAATTGTTTGAAAAAATATAAAAATGTCGCCTACCACTTGAGTAATATTAGGTGCCCCTGAGTTCCCATGGACATTTGTAAACCACTTTTTATACCCTCAGCCAAATAACTAGAGAGGATATATATCATTTGATACCGCCAAAACGTGCGGTACCGCCAAATAACGGTTTTCGACCCTAAGTCTCTTTGGATCAAATTCGTTTCAAGACATTTGGAGTCAAACTAGCGATGTCCGTCCGTCTGTCTGACTAGTTGGGATGCACGATAACTCTCGATAAGTGTACCCGATTTGATCCCAACTTGGTACATCGTGATAATATTATGAAACTTAGATCGAGTTCGGAGATGGGCAATGTCGGTCCTTATGGTACCTCTCCCACAAAATGTCAAAGTTTTGAATATCCATGAACCTTATAATACACGAAATTAACATCCGATTCCATTCAGACTTGGCACATCTCAATATTTCTATCAACACAAGATCTGTTATAAAGATGGTAGAGATCGGACCATTTCTTCTTGTACCTCCCCCACATAGGTGGAAACAAAACGCTCAAAGAAAGCAAGATAAGCATCCAACTATCTTTAAATTTCACACATACAAACATTTTTGCTAACGCAAGATCTGTTATGAAAATGACATATAGCTCACAATTTTCAATACTTATATCTGTCATAACTTGTGAAACAAGAAAAAGAAAGAATTGCCGGATTCATTACAACTTGCTATATCAGAAGATTTCTCTTAACCAGAAATCTGATTTATTGAAATTAATGATTTCGCATAAAATTGGATATAAATGTTCGATTTCCTTCAAATTTTGCACATGTCAGTATTTTTTTCTGAATTAGATGAATTATGAAAATGGAATTTTTCGGTCCGCTATAACTGTTACGTCAATCTCATATAAAGTATAGGAAGTAGCCTATATAATAGTCCAAATATGGCATGTTGTAATATTTATATCAGTCTTAGGTCTGATACGAATTGGTCAGTATTGGCCAACTGTTTCGGAACCTCCCCCATTAAGGGTCACCAGCTTGAATAATCGTAACTCAAGGCCGGGGTACACATCTGTCGGCGTGATTCATTTATAGCTTAATTAAGATATGTTAAGAATGGATTTAAATAAAAAGAATATGGAGATATGGAGTTAGCCCCAAAATAAAAATTTCCCAAATTTCTCGTGATCGACGGCCAACGCTGCATTTATCCATTCCTATGGATTTTGCGACCTAATTGTATCCAAAGTTTACCTCAGTAATTTTTTTTATATTTAGCATTTCCTTACTGCTTTCTTAAATGAATTGAAAGTCATCAGAACCTACAAATGAAATCAAGAAAATAGGTATGGATAAGCCTTGGACAGCATTGAATCACAATATTGGGCCACAATAGTAGCTATCGCTATTTGGTTGAACTATTCAATATACACAGTGCAGATTTTATGAAAGCATAGATTTCCCCATGGAAATGCTTTGCCCCTATTTAGATGGCTGTTTATCCCATAAAACTTCCCCGCCAACAAGTTTCACAGGATCCTAGTTTTTTTACCGGATAAAGTCTGATGGCAGCCCTAATTGACAAATGTCGTTGTTTTGTTTTCATGCTACGGCTACAGCTGCCGCTAGCCGGCACATGTATCTGATGAGACGACGAAGAAAAACTCTCTTTGAAAGAGTGGAAAACACTTGTTCACGTTTTGTAATGGTGGTAGTTTTGTAGTGGGGAAACACAAACACACATACACACACTCACCGTATGGCTGTGAGTATCTGTGTGAAGTCTGGCAGCAGCAGCAGCTTTTGCCTCGGCATGGCCAGAGTTGAGGTTTCATTTCAAAGTGAGCTTTAATGGACGTCGCATTTGTGTGAATTTTCGTTACGAGACATGAGTCCACGTTGTTTTTAGATCAATCAGAATCCGGTGTTATTTTGGTGTGTGAAAAAGAAATACTTTTTTCATTTTTCATTCAAAGTGAAGCAATTTCAAAAATTGTCTGAACAAAAATTTTGTATATAATACAATAAACAACAACAACACCAACAAAGTGAATTATCGTTGATTGAATGAAACAAAAAGCAAATAAAAAACCAAACATATTGTAAAAAAATATAGGCCTAATCGTGCCGAGATAAGAAATACCTAACCAAGTGACAAAAAAAAAAGAAGTGAGAAATCGTGGAAGAATTACAACAAATAAAAAACAACTTTAAGTTGTTTGTTTAACAAACAAATTAAAATATTTAACAAAACACAAAGCGACGTCATTTTTTTTTAAGTTTAATTTGAATAAAAAAGAAATATTGAAAGCAGCTTCTAAAGGTGAGCGAGCGAGCGAGCGAGTGAGGTGTGAACTGAGAGGAGAGACATTTACTTTGATTGTGAAATAGATGATGACCTCTTTTACCCTTGAATTATCCCTTAAAGAAAGAACAGAATGACAAAAAATAAGATAGAACAGAAAAAAGGACATGCCAAAAAGGCAAAGGAGAGGGACACGAAAACATTCCAACGAAGCTCTTTTTGGATGGATAAATAGTGTTGCCGTTTCAGTTGAAATTTGCTACATTTACCGATGTGGGTACACATGTTAAAGGCATGTGTCCATGGAGGCATATGTTCCGATTTCCGTGGAATAGTTAACGTTTCGCATTGTTCAAAATTAAGAGATACTCTAGTAGTCAGTCGATGACTACCCCAATGGAAAATTCAATACTTAGGAATATGCTCATCCTCAAAATTAAGATTATACATAAACTCTGTCTCCCGTGGAAGACGGAGTTTTTTTTGCATTAAAGAAATTGTTAAAACAATTCTAACTTTATATTCTTTAAAATTTTTCATTGTTTTATTAATTCTTGTTAAGTCATCTGTTCTCCTTATATTTATCTCTGTACATATATCCACAAATATTCTTCCTTCTTGGCAGTTTTCTCTTTTTTTACTGTGCTCTCTTTAACAATTCACAAGATGCTAATATTTTGCCTAAGAGAGTGTCATAGAGAGAGAGGGGGTTTCCTATATAAATAAAATATATAATTTGTCTTTTAACTACAATTTTATCTTATTTCTCTTTCTGCTCTTCTTTCTCCGCAGAGTCAAACAAGTGACATCACTCTAGCCAATCAACAAGCCCAAGGACTTTTGCGTCAAGCTGATGCCCGCAATCGTCAGCTGATTGAGCAGGACAATCTTGAATTGAATCGCTTGTGGCAGGACCTCATTGCTTCGTTGGAGAAGAGGCGTGACAATTTGCAATCTGTCGCCGATAAGTGGGACGAATTCGAGAATCGCTTATTGAGCTGGGAAAAGGCCATTGGACGTTTGTCGGATAAATTCCGCAATGTCGACCCAGTGGTAAGATCTCGTCGTCACTTGGAAGATACAAAGCATGCCATCCAGGTAAGTGTTTCCGATATTATTTTAATTTATTATTATTTTGTTTCATCTACTTAACAACAATTCGGCAATTTACACAAGTGACGTGATTTTTTGGTTGTTGTTGTAAAACTCAAAGAAAAACCAGTTGAAACCTTAACACCGCCCTTCGCCAGCTATATTCGGCATTTATTCACAGTTTATCAATTCCAATCAGGTTTTTAGGCTTAACTAGCGCCGAGCAGGCAAGCAAGCAAGCAATTTTAACAGCCTAAGCGGTGTGGGCAGCCACAATCAAGTTTCTTCTTTGCAAAACTTTTGGGCCATAAATTTTGGTAGACTCTTTGCGTTGTTGCTGTTGTTGTTAATGTCTACTCGTCGGTGTTCATAGACAAGATAATATCTATTATTGTTGGTAATACATATATTATTAGAAGGAGGTCTAACACTTAGTTGTGTATGGATTTCAATTACTTCCGCTAGACTTCATTTTAACAAAAGGAGCGAGTTTTGTAATAAAAAATTAATTCAACAGCACTCTTGGCTCATAAAGCGGATGTGTACCTTAAAGTGTAACAGAAGAATAGAGAGACCTACTGTAGAAGATTTTTATAGTTAAATGCGAAGATGTTGGTTTTATACCCCCCGCCATATGGTTACAGAGGGTATATATCATTTAATTCGGCCAAAACATGCCTCGTCGAAATAACGGTCTCTTTGGACCAAATCCGTTCAGAATATTTGGAATTGATCTAGGGGCATCCGACCGTCCGTCTGTCTGGCTGGTACGCACGATAACTCTCGGAGGAATTATGTTATTTGGTCTAAATTTGGTACATCGTAATATCGATCCACTCCTCCTGCTACCTCCCCAACAAAAGATCAAAATTTTCATAGAAAATAATGCCTAATAGGTCAGGTGCGATAATGAACAATATCGGTCCATTCCATTAAGCAAGTACCTCCACCAAAAAGTGTCAACATTTTGAATTATTACAACTCTTATAATATTTGAAATAAGGGTTCGATTTCTTAAAGTTTTAAAGTGTAGCGCATCTCAATATTTTTGCCAAAACAAGGTCTGGTATGAACATGAAATTTGTTGTGCCACTTAATCTGGTACCTCCCACACAACGGGTCAAAATTTGGAGCAATTAGATATTTCATGAAATTGCAAAATCTCCCTCACCATGGTAAACAGTTTGAATAAAAAAAGGCTCATTAAAGCAAAATATGCAACCAATTCTCGTATCGGATCTTATTAGTTTCGATATTTTGAAGACTTGACTTATACAGGGTGAAATAAAAAAAAGCTGCAACAAAGTCAAACGCCATAAATTCTAACATTTTTTAAATTTTATTGAATGAAAGCCAAAATTTCGGAAATAGCATAAACTTTTAGAATAACTTTAGATTTGTTCGAATTGGTCAACTTTGGCACAAATTATGACTTCCAAACGGCCAATGAAACCGTCACACGCTGCCTCAATGTTGCTCTGCGGTATTTTGGCCCTTTCCCGGCGAAGCGCTTGCTTGAGGTGATCGACACTTTGGTATTTGTTAGTACCAACCTTGCTTTCCGAAATACTCCAGCCACAATAGTCCAACGGATTGGTATACAGAGATTTTGGTGGCCATTGTGCTCTGTAAATGAAGCGAGGAACCTAATTTTGTAACCATTCTAGGGTGGCGCGTGCTGAGTGCGATGGTGCTGGGTCCTGTTGAATTGTCGAAAGACTGCAGCCAAAATGTTTGAGTACCCAAAGCTTTAATACACCCTCCAGAATATTTTCGCGATAATATTCGGCATTTAGTCGATTAATACGAGCGGAGAGCGACCATCGGGTTTTATGGCGGCCCACAACATCACCGTGGCCGGTGCTTGAGTTCTGGTGGCCAACCGAAGGTGTACATTTTCAGCCGACCTCTTTGGCAAGTAAACACAATCATTTTGTTTGTTTACAAACTGCTGGACAACGAAAGTTTTCTCATCGGAGTAAACCAAATGCGTCAGTTCACCACTTTCGGTCAAGCGAAGCAACTCCATAGCTTTTTTGTGTCTATTTTCTTTCTGTTGCGGAGTAAGTTCTTGCACTTTTTTGAATTTTGAATGGCTTAACCCCGAGCTCATTTTTCAATATTTGCCCAATTCAATATTGCGATATGTTCAGCTCACGAGCCATTTTTCGGCCACTGCGACGCGGGTTTCGATTTTCGAGTCGCTTCGTTACTTTTCGAACCATTTCTGCTGATGTTGCTGTTTTCTTCCGTCCACTTCCTTGACGTCGGGCTACGCTACCAGTATTACGGTAACGAGCGATGGTACGAGACTCGAAACATTTATTCACATTTAAATGCTGGAGTGCTCTAACGATAGCCACTTGTGTTTTCCAGCCAAATATAAAGAAATCACACTATCACGTTTGAATTCCACCGCGAATAACATTTTTTTCTGGAAAATTCGCACCAAAATGCTTTTGTACGCTTATAAACAGTTAATGAGCTGTCACGGGAATAATTTTAACAGCTGTCGGACGAGTGGCATAAAAATGTCAGCAGTCAGAATTTGGTTGCAGTTTTTTCATCTCACCCTGTATATTCATATAACAATCTGAATAAAAAACAATTTTTTTCAAGTTGTGCTAATTGAAGCTCACAGCATACCACTTGAAATTTTATATTTGTTTATAAATGTTAAGTGTAGCCGTTTTGGGGCCAGAGTACTTAATTTCACTATCCCACCTCGAATATTGTCTTTTGGGACTTGAAGTGAAATTGAAGAATCATGGTATAATTTATTCAGAATTTCATTTGACTCTACGCCTTTGGTTTCATGTCAACATTACTTTCATATTTCTCAATAATTGACTCAATACCAGTTTAGCAATTTTTTATGCAAATTCGATTCTCGTGATTTGTTTATTATTTCATTCATTTCATATGTGTGTTTGCGCGAGTATTTGTATCTGTACTAAGTGATTTTTAATTTAATAAATTCTATTTTTTTCATTAAAAAGCCATTATGGCTCATGGTCGGTCGTCACATAGACAGACGCGAAGGTTTTAAAAACGAAAATAAAAAATAATTAAATAAATAAACGACTAATGGATGGATAGATGCATGCCGCCAGCAGGTTGCATGGTTGGCTTTTATAATTGAAAAACAAAAAAAAATTATATAATAAAATTTATTAACTGCAATAATTGTATGGAATTCCCAATGCAGTTTTTTTTTTTGCAAACAATCTTCGATTACAAAACCGATTAGGCGGCTATTTTTAGCCAGCACAAATAAACAATGAAAGCGTGAAACGCCAACATTCATTGATTCAAATGGATGAAAACGAAAAGAAAAGGAAATAACGAACAAATTTTGCTATCATCGAATCTATGTGGTGGTGTATAGAGCAGCAAATTTTCTTAATCGCCTCAGATAATTAAGCTTTCAATTAAACGTAATCGTAGCAACGACTAAAACCAATGATCCACTGATCTACAGGCCCAGTGACTGTTGCCTTCAAACACATAAATATGTGAGTGTGATGTGTGGGTCCCAAGCATGCCTCCCAAGAACTGATAAGCAGTGTTATTTTTTTTGTCTGTTTGCTATTTAATAATGAAGTGGAAACGAAGAAGCCGTCTGCCGTGAGTCATAAAAAAAGGCAAATACTAGAAAAAGCAATACTGATATGTCCATAATAATTAAAAGTTATGTCAATTATCTAGCAACGTCTAATTAGGTTAATTTGTCAAGTGTCGTTTGTTCTAATTTACATATATTCTCTCTTTGGGAGCAGAGGAAGAGAGACGACCTTATTTCCATTTTTTTTCAAGTTTATTCTTTTTCAGGGGAATTACAGTAAAAACGGAAGTATTTTATGTATACTTTTCTCGTTAAAACAGACAATTTCGAATGTAATAATAATGAGGTTATATAAATATACCGTTTTTACAGTTTTTGAAAAATGGCACTGGTTTTAGTAACACGTGCAGCTGTGTGGAAATTTTACTTTCGTTTTAAAATTATAGAAAGAGTACTTATTTTGATAGTTTTTTATGCTTTTCCGAAAGCTGTCGATAGCAAAGAAAATCACTGTCATACTTCACTCCGATCTTCAATACAGAAGGTGGAGTGTTTTACTTTATAATGCGAATGTTATTTAATATCAGAGCTCGAAAATGCTCTAGCGGGTTTCAGTCTCTACTTGAATTTGAGCGGGAGTACTCCTGCGAGTATAAACCGAAATTGATTTAATTCCATTTATCTATACCACTCGAATAAGAGCGAGTATGTTTTGCTCCTTTTCGAGCGAGAGTAAACATGGTTATATTTTTGACGGGTACTCTTTTAGTTGTTGTACAATCGTTGTTTTATATGTAAATGTGTGAATTTCCAGTTCCCAGTCCGCACCGGTTTGTTATTACTACATGTATGGGCAAATCTGAAAACAAAATAGTTTTTCCACTCGCTTTCACTCTTAGAGTAAGCTTTTACTCTATTTCAAACATTTTTACTCCCACTTTTATTTTCCAAAACTTCTTGTATAAATTTGGTATTTGGTGAATTAATAGAGCTGAAATTTGAATATATGTTAGTGTTGGTGTCTGAGGTTAAGGTTCGGAGGTTTGGAAATGCCTATTATGGTTGTTCGAAAAGTAATAATTGGGTAAAGGGATGAGTACTAAAATTATACGAAAACTACTAAATGTTACTAAATTTTGGTATTGGGCGAAGGGATAGAGCTGAAATTATGAAATTTGATACTGAAATCACTGTTTCAAGGCTTTACGTATGACGTTAAAATTGTTTCGGGCGAAAAAAATAAGATCTTTCTCCGTAAACTTCAAAATGAAAGATTTTTAAGACTTGAGGTATAAAAGGTAAACATTTTCCCCTCAAAATGAAAAAATTATACATTTTAAATATTAACAAGTAAAAAAGCTGTAAGTTCGGCCGGGCCGAACTTTGAATACCCTCCACCATCTGGAACGAATTTGGCAATTTTCGAAAAAATGAAATCCGT